AGCTTCTAATCTGGCTGCTAAATTTTTTTCTACTTCTTCATCAAGTCTAGATACCCAAATAGTCAAATTTGAATAATTTTTTAAAGATAATTCATCTACGGCTTTTTGAATTTTGGAAAGTATATCAGCAAATGTATTTGCTGAATATGGACATGTTTCAAGAGATCGCACATCAACATCTAATTGCTCTTCAACTACCACAAGATCTTCTACTTTTTCTTGAAATGAAACAACAGCATCAGAAAGACGTTGCACATATTGATCTAATTTATAACTTTCCCAAATTAAAGCAATTCCCTGAATTAAAAAATAAAATAATAATAATTATATAATAGTTATGATAATAATAGTTATGATAAAAATAATAAAATTTATAATACAATATTATATAATTTTATATATAATTGCATAAAATACTTACTTCAGAAATAAGTGATAATACATCATTACGCATTCCAGCAACCAAAGGTATAATACTGGCTTTATCTTCAATCTATAAAGAAAAATAAATTATGAAATACAATTTTTAAAAAATCATATTATCAATCATACTAATACAATTTTACGACATAAATTATCATTTATCATTCAATAATATACAGACAAGAAGGCAAATAAAAATTTTACATGTTCATAGCTTATACTAAAAAAATTATATAACAATTTTCATTTATAATCAACTTATTACAAAAGGAGAAATATAGGTATTACTATATCAATTACAAGCAACATTTGGTATATATGGCCAATCAAACTTTTCAAATTATTATATATAATCATATAATTTGAGATTTTTATAAAGTATTAAAAAACCAACGAAATTAGATATATTAAAATGAATAAAGATATATAAATTTTAATATTTTAATATTTTAATTAAAAATGAAAAAACTTGAATTTTTTAGAATTCCCGCATATCTTATATTTCATCTATTCATACTTTTATTTTTTTCAATTATTTAATTTACTAAAATAAAATCATAACATCTTGCAATACATGTGTTTCTACAAGAGCTAAGCAGGCATACAATAATAATTCGCAAATATAGGCAAGATGCATAATTCCTGAAAGCATCATATATGACTACCTTCAGTGCGGGGCAGTGGGGACTCCGATTGGTAAGCTAAAAATATTGGACATCCAAGGAATTAAAAACATCAATATTACTAATATATATTTTAATCCTGCTTCTATTCCCTATTTATCTATTCTTTCATTTGTATTTTTAAAATTTTGAATTGCTTGTCATATATCAATTATATTTTTGTAATAGTGAATAAAAAATATAAAAATTACCTTTTCAAGCGTTCTTTCATAGGTTCTAATACTCTCAATCAAGCTGATGGCAAAAGGATATAATTGATTTGCTTGATGTGCTCTATTCACAATTGGCAAAGGTACGCGAAAACCAAGATTTTTTAAATTTCTTACTTCCTTCGATAATGTAATAATTTCAGGAAGAAAATTCACTTTCAACTTTAACACATTGCCACGACCAGTTCGTGACCGTACATTTTCTATTGTAAAAATTCTTCCAGTTACGCCAAGATTTCTTTGTTGTACTTTACGTGCCCATTCATCAAAAATTTCCTGAGTTGATAATTTCATACGAAAACTATCTCCATCAGCTTTTAATTTTTGACCTTCAATATGAGTTTCCCATCCTTTTCCTATAAAATAAAAATGTTAATATCTAGATATATGAAAAAAATGTTAATATTTACCTAAAACATCTTCAACTCGTTTTAAATACATTGTAAGCTGATAATCAATTTGTTTAACCCAGATAATAGAGCCAGCAACAGGTGGTAAATCTCTAACTATACTCATTCTGCAACACTTGCTTTGTGCATATTGAACCTAAATTAATAATATAACTATTTATAAAAGTTAATAAATAAAGTTTTAGTTTTCTTTTATATCTTTAGTTCTCTATTTTTATACCTTAAACTTTTCATGTAATGCTTCAATATCATCTTTTACTCTTTGTATTAGCTGTGTTTGATATTCTCTAATGGCGCCTCGAATATGTGGCCTTACAAAAAGTGCATTAAAACGTGAAAAAATTCTAAACATTTCATTTGCATTCTTTGCAGTACCTAATTGATCTCGAAGATGTGCTGTAATTCTTGCTTCAACTCTTTCAATACGTTCTTCATATCTACGGACAGCAGCTTTCCAAGATTCAATGCCTTCTTTAGTAATATCAAGACAATCGATTTCTTTTACATTTTCATATGCCAAATTTACTTCACTAATAGCGTTTGCATCTGCTGCATCTAAAGCGAATTCAATTTTTACATTATCATTATCCGGATTCTCCATCGCAGCGTTATTATTATTTTGACGAACAGTAGGTCTAAGTACACGAACAATTACTGTTCTGAGTTGTTCATGTTGTCGACGGAAATTTCGCATTTGTTCCATTCTAGTTTGTAATTTTTTATGTGCTGGTAAAACTCTCCATACCATTTTCATATGTTCATCACGTTTTTTCTTCACAATATCTCTTAATAATCCTGTTAATTTCTCATATTCATCATCCCATGTATTAAATACTTCAAAACATTGTTCCATAACTTTTTCAAACTCATCAAATGGAATATGCATTAATCTTCTTGTACCTAATACTTTTAGGAGTTGCTGTCCTAAATCTCTTGAAATAGCTTCTATCAATCTCAATACTCTTTGAACAGGATATTTTGTACTTCTGATTTTTCGTAAATGCATAAATATTTGTTGAACACTAGTTCTTATTCTTTCAAGTTCTGTAGCTGATAATAAATCATTTATTGGAAAATCTTTCATTAATGGATTATAATCATTAACTGTAGCCAAAGCTTGTTGTAGGCCAGTATCTATATCAAAACTAACAGTTGCATGAAATCTTTTTCCATGCTTAAGAATATCAAGTGTTAAAGTAATTTCTATACTCTCTCGTTTCTCTTGTATTCGATGCAATGCTCTTTCCAAATTTAACCAAAAAGAAATTTCTTGTAAAGCAGTACCTGATTCTGGATCGCGATTTAATTTAGTAACCTATGAAAAATGAATATATATATAATATACATAATACTGTAACATTTATAATATTTCTACCTTTTGAATTTCTTTTATCCATCTATTAACACCATTTTGTAATTGATTTAAAAATGTTGAATCTTCAACTTTATCACCAAAATCAGCAACTTTTGGTTTACGATTTTCTTCTGTACATTGTTTAATTACTTGTGCTACAAGTGGATGAATTTGTAATGAAATCTCAGGAATATCTATATTTTGTTGTAAATGCAATAAACCCATTTCAAGTTCTGCTATTTTTTTTTCAACAGATGGTGCCATTTTATCACCATCTCTATCTGCCCGACCTGTTTCTTTTACATAACTTTTAAAGTATGGTGCCATAGTCTTGCTTATTGCATGCAATGTTTCATATGGTGGTCCATCTGAAAAGGTAACTAAACGTAGCTGTGAATGAATGGACTTGTCAGCTTCAATTACTGCTCCACGTTTTGTTAAAACTAAGGAGGCCATTTTAGGACTAGTAAAATGTATTTCATTTGATATATAAAAAACTGTACTTTCTTTTTCTTCATCTCCTTCATTATTATCTTCCTCTGAAAAATAATAAATAAAATAATAAAATATTTAAAATATATGATAAATATATGTAATATATGTAAAATATTAATATAATATTTATGAAATATAAATATTCTATATATAGATATATTATATTTATATATTATATCTAAATATAAATAAATTATATATTTATAAAAAGTAAAGAATGAATTTAATTAAAAAACTTAATCAATTCATATTTTTAAAAGTTATGTAATTTAAAATCATAAAAATAAATATTTCTTTTTAGACATTACATATATTACTTAATACAATTATAATTTACTTTAAAATTATAGATATATAATTTATAGATATAGAACATTAAAATATATGATAATTCATTTATACATATTTTTTTAATCTATTATTTGAAAATATAATATAATTTAATATTAAATATAAAAATATAATTATATATTTGCCGAAAATATAATTTATATTATGATAAACTATTATATATATAATAAAATTAATAAGAAAGAACATAATAATGACATTTACATGTATTGATTACATTAAGTATGAGTCATATTTATAAAGAGTTTAAATGAATCAAATAATTAATAATAATATTCAGAATATATTTCCTATCGCAATTTGATACAAGTACCGTTGTATTGAATACTGCAATGGAGGATATCATATAAGAGCAGAGTGCAAAATTCTTAACAATAATTAATTAATTATTCATTATAAATCAATTCACGTACCTTTACTAGAACTTCTTTGTATGTAAAGTGCCCATACTTGAGAATCACCTAAGAATTTTCTTATGTATTCTTGATTGCTTTTATCTTCGAGAGCAGAATTAAATGCGGGTGGAACCACATCTTCATCGGGTAGCAGGACCGTTACGACTTTCTTTAAATAATTAGCGAATGTTGAATATGATACAATTATAACAATTTGAGCCTCCGGAGACGGTTCCCCGGTGCCGTCTAAGGAGTCACCCATCTTACGTTAATCAATATCGCAAAATTTGTAATCTTGAGCGGGTGATCCCCGCTCTAGGATGAACTGTCACACGAGTGATGACGAATTATAATAGGCATAGACTACGACACAGAAGTACTTACAAATCGCAATGATTCTTTAGTAATAACGCCATTTTTTTATACTCTATTTTATCCATCATTTTGGCTAGTTTTCATGTTATTTCTGTCAAATCAATTAAATTGTGTTAGTTTTATATTTTTCTATTCGTTATATTTTATATTTGAAAATAACTATTGATATATATTTATAAAATCTTAATTAATCATATTTTTTTTAGATAAAATTATAAAAAAAACAATACCTTTTTTCTAAAACAAATTTTGTATTTGTAGTAGAAATGATACTTTCACTATGAGATTTATATATACATATACTTTAATATGTAAAATATTATAGCATGCGCACGCATGTAGATTATGGAATAAAGAAAAGGTGGTTGGAAAGAATAAATGTAGAATTTTTGTGGTGAAAAGAAAAAAAAATATCAATATAGAAAAAATTAATGCAATAAATAATATTAATTGTAAAGAATTATATTTTTTAAAAATTGAAGGCCTATTTGTAGCTTATGTAATTATAGATTTACTTATAATAAAAGAAACTCTTACACCGGCTCGTATCGCATAACTATCTTGATCGATTTATTTTTCATTTATTCTATAATGGAAGCTTTGATACCTGTAATAAATAAATTACAAGATGTGTTTAATACTGTTGGTGCTGATGCTATACAATTACCACAAATCGTAGTACTTGGTACACAGGTCAGTTAAAACTTTTTGAATGATGAAGAAAAGATTTATAATTTGTAATTATAATCTTTATAATTTTTAATTTATAATCTAAATTAAAATTTTTTCCCTAAAAGTAAAAATACATTTGAATAATCATAAAATTTATTTAATTGATTTATAAATAATTTGATTTATAATTTTTTGTGAATTAAAAATTTATTTATGATATTGATATGTTGCAGTAAATATAATTTTGTTTTCTAGAGTTCAGGAAAATCATCTGTAATAGAAAGTTTGGTTGGTCGATCTTTCTTACCAAGAGGTACTGGTATAGTTACTAGACGTCCTTTAATATTGCAACTTGTTTATACACCTAAAGATGATCGTGAACATCGAAGTGCAGAAAATGGAACATTAGATTTAGATGAATGGGGCACATTTTTACATACTAAAAATAAAATTTACACAGATTTTAGTGAAATTCGTAAAGAAATAGAATCTGAAACAGAACGTATGGCTGGATCTAATAAAGGAATTTGTCCAGAACCAATTAATTTAAAGATATATTCAACATCAGTTGTTAATTTAACTCTCATTGATCTTCCTGGTATTACAAAAGTACCAGTTGGTGACCAACCAGAGGATATCGAAAGTCAAATACGACAACTTGTTTTAAAATATATATGTAATCCTAATTCTATTATATTAGCTGTTGTTACTGCAAATACTGATATGGCTACAAGTGAAAGTTTAAAACTTAGTAAAGATGTGGATCCAGATGGAAGACGTACATTAGCTGTTGTTACTAAATTGGATCTTATGGATGCTGGTAATTTTTATTAGTACATTTATTATTATTTAAAATTTTTATAATTTATTATAATTTGTAAAAATATCATTGTATGATATTGTAGGAACTGATGCTATAGATATATTATGTGGAAGAGTTATACCTGTAAAATTGGGAATTATTGGTGTAGTTAACCGTTCTCAACAAGATATAATGAATAATAAAAGTATTCAAGATGCATTAAAAGATGAAGCTGCATTTCTGCAACGTAAATATCCTACTTTGGCAAATAGAAATGGAACTCCTTATTTAGCTAAAACTCTAAATCGTTTATTGATGCATCATATTCGGGATTGTCTTCCAGAATTAAAGGTAATACAATAGAGAGTTTTTGAATAAAAATTTGCCATACATAGCTAGAAAAACTAAAATAGGCATAATTTGGTAGAACTTATATTTTTTAAAAACAGACGAGAGTAAATGTGATGGTTTCACAATTTCAAACCCTTCTTAATTCATATGGTGAGGATGTTAGTGACAAAAGTCAAACTTTACTTCAAATAATTACTAAATTTGCAAGTAGTTATTGTTCCACAATTGAAGGAACAGCTAGAAACATAGAAACAACAGAATTATGTGGTGGTGCTCGAATTTGTTATATATTTCATGAAACATTTGGAAAAACACTGGATTCCATACATCCGTTGGCGGGTCTTACAAAAATGGATATTTTAACGGCTATTCGAAATGCAACTGGTCCAAGACCTGCTCTATTTGTACCAGAAGTTTCCTTTGAATTATTAGTTAAACGACAAATTCGAAGACTCGAAGAACCATCATTACGATGTGTAGAACTTGTACATGAAGAAATGCAAAGAATTATTCAACATTGTGGTACTGAAGTACAGCAAGAAATGTTGCGTTTTCCAAAATTACATGAACGTATTGTTGATGTTGTAACGCAATTACTACGTCGACGTCTCCCACCTACTAATCAAATGGTTGAAAATTTAGTTGCTATAGAATTAGCATATATTAATACCAAGCATCCAGATTTTCATAAGGATGCAGCTCTTGTATCATCTTTATTAAAAAATTCTAATGTAGATCATATAAAACATAATAGGAAAATTCCTTCTACTACAAATACCACATCAAGTAATATAACTTCAAATGAAGCAGTAAGTAATTATTAATAATTTTCATAATCATTAATAATATTCATTAATTTATGTTTTGTTTGTATTAATATTTTTCCTTATATTAAACACTGTATTTATAATATATAGATAATATATATATAATAAATATAATAATTTTATGTTTGATTAAATGATGTAATATTTAAATATTTTAGTTTTCTAATCAATTTGTTCTGTGTGTTATGTAACTAACACATACATATTTCTAACAGAATGTAAAATCAATTAATAATCAAGAAGAAGTGGCATCTTTACCTGAACAGAATAAGGATCAGCAAGGACATCAAATGGTTTTAAGCAATTGGCTGTTAAATAATCTTATACCTCAAGGAAGAACTGATTCAACTAGTTCGATTGATAATTCTCCGGTAAGAAATCGTGAAAGCAGTACTTCTCCCCATCCAAATCCAAGTTCAAATCCAATAATCGAAGTACAGAAAGCATCTTCACAACAAAAACCTGTAAATCTGTTACCTGAAGTACCGGTGCAAACATCTCGTAAACTGAGCGAACGAGAACAACGAGACTGTGATGTGATTGGTATGAATAGAAATGAATTTTTTTTTTAAAAATTATTTTTTATATTATTTATTTATATACTTTATTCTTTACAGAAAGATTGATAAAATCATACTTTTACATTGTACGAAAATCTATACAAGATAGTGTACCAAAAGCTGTCATGCATTTCTTAGTTAACTATGTAAAAGATAACTTACAAAGTGAACTTGTAACACATTTATATAAATCACATCATGCTGAAGTTCTTTTAAATGAAAGTGAACATGTTGCTGTTAGACGCAAAGAAGCAGCAGATATGCTAAAAGTATATATTTTCATATCTATAAATGATAATATTTTTTTTATATAAATTAAAATTTTAAACAATTTATCTATATGTTTTTATTATAGGCATTAACACAAGCTGGTCATATTATTAGTGAAATTCGAGAAACGCATATGTGGTAATAGAATTTATCTATTATTTACATGATCAGTTTATAGTTCAATTTAGACAGTTTGGTGGTTTAATAAACTGATAAATGAAGTCACATGTATGTCTAAATACTGTATATAATTTGTATTTTTCATGCAAATAATGTTTACAATTATAATAGTTTTTAAGATTTTTTTTAGTTTTATTTCATTGATATAAAAAATAAAATAAATTACACCTGCATTTATAATAAATTTCGATATTAAATAATCAAAATATTACCATTTATAACAATGTTACCATAATTTTATTTTAAAAGCTTTTCTAAAGTTATGCAAATATTTACATTAAAAAAATTAACTTTTTTTTATAAGAAATGTAAAAGCAAATATAAACGATCATAGATATAAAACAGTTTGTTATATTTTGTAACATTTTGCACTGCATGAAAAAATTAAAAAATTAATAATAGTTAATGTAAAAGATAATAAATCTTATTTATGATTATTTGTGATACAGATCCAAAGCTATGTGTATGTTGTGTGTTTACTCATGTGTGCATATGATATATATTATATATGATTAGTAATTTTTATTGACTTTTGTTATTGAGAGATACAAGCAAATTGATTGTAACACTGTATAATACATTGTTGTGTTTTGATAGTCTCCATATTAGGTGTGATAAAAAATTTTTCAATAAACTGTATATGCTCAAGTAATTGAAGAAGAGGCTGTTCATAATGGCCTTCATGCATTTTAGAAATAGCATTTAATCTTTTTTTAACTGATTTTTCAAGTTGATTTTTTATCTTTTTTAAATTAATTGTCTTACAATTACATTGTTTGTTTAATACATTTTGCATATGTTTTTCATTTAATGCAATTATGCCAATAATTTCTGAACATGTTTTGCATTTATATTTCATTATTTCGGGTAACGGATATTGCCAATTTTGAATACACGCATCACATGTACATAAAAAACGATATTTTTTCCATAAATATTCGATTCTTGATAACTTGTTTTCACTAAACCAATGTGGTCCATAACAATCAAGAATTTCTGTACCTTTACCAACAAAACGTAACGTTCTTACTACAACTATTCCTGTAAAAAATTATTCATAAATTTAAATTATTCATAAATTTATTTATAATATATAAAACATAGAAAATCATTTATTAAGAACAATTTTTACCTGATGGATAAGTATGACGAACAACATTTGGATAACAACTATGATTTATAAGGCTAACTGAAGGATAAATTGCTCCACCTATTTGTTTTGGTTCCCAAATATGTGTTTTTTTATCATATATATTTTCCACAATTTCATAAGCATTACAATTTATAGCCTGTAAGTGATGCAATATTGCTACTGCTAAGGAGATGAAGGATTCTTTTAAATAAACAACATCCATTTTACTCAAGACAAAAGTAAAGCATTTTGCCAAAAATATAGCTTCGATAGCACGAATAAGATTTGTTTTAGGTTCCATTTTTGTACAATGAGTTTCTAAATTTAATATAGTACGATAATCGTAAGGACTATAAATTTCATTTGTTCCTAAATTATTACGTTCTTTATTTATATTTGTAACATAACATTGAAGGAAATTATTGTTTAGAAAAGGAATTTTTTTTTTTTCGATATTGTTAATTTGTTCAATTGAAGATAAAAATCCTGAAATTATCATTCTATAAGCTAACAACAAATATGAAGTATTTCGTTGTATTTGTTCGGAATCATTTTCAAAGAAAGCATCAAATATGAAGCATTCATACTGATGATATATTTGCCACGCTTTACTACGACATTTTTCCGAACAAAAAGATACCTGTATAAATTTAATCATATTTTAGAATTAGTCAATATATTAGCAGATTAAAGTACAAAAAAATAAATATAAAACAATAGAAATGGATTAAAATTATTTATCCTACTAACTGTTTGACAATAATAGCAAGGAATTTTAACACTATTACTCGACATTAGAGTAATATGACAATGTAAACAATTTCTACCAAGTGCTTCTTTATTTGTACTGAAAGCAAATGGTGTTTCAACAATAAGAACAGATCCTGCTTTGATGTTCTTGGTAGCTATAAGATGTCGACCTCGTTTTTCATCAAATTGTAAAGTAACAGCATCTGAACAACTTTTAAGAATAGTATGTTGTTTCCCATTAAGAATAGGAATTATTGATGCATAATTTGCTATCTCGAAGGAAGTATTTTGATTTTTGCTGTACTTTTTACGCAATCTTTTGTCCTGAGAAGATGATTCTTTCAAACTTTTATAGCATTCACGTTCTAATTGCATACATGCTTTTTTATGTTCCAAAAAACCGTTTATACTTTCAGTAGTTGTATTGTAAAGATTTTCAGGAAGTGCAAGCATGCATTCACAATATTTTAAGCATTTTACAAAAGCTTTCGAATTATAATAATAGTATGCGCAATCTAAAAGCGCATCTAGAAACAATTTACTACTTACACTGGCCTTAAACAGTGTTTCGGTAAGGATACTACTTTTATTTGTTTCTTCGTGCACAATTCCATCCTTAACTATCATTTCGCGATTTTTATTACAAAGTTCTGCTGCTTTAATATCATCCTTACCCTTATATGACTCAATAATTTTTATATTTTCAATACTCGGTATGCTTATAAGGACTTTTATCATTTCTTCTCTATCTCCATTTTCAGAAAATTTCTTGAAATTATTTGCATACGGTTCTATGACAGCATCATAAGCAATTTTAAAAAATTCACTAAAGTTGATATATCTATGAAAAATTTCAATTATAGCATATTCATTATATATATTCATTATCGATACATAATATAATTGATATAAATAATTTTTCTTTTTTTGCATAATTTTAATAATTGTATTATATGATTTTACATTTTTTATTATTGTAAGTTAATTAAAATTAAAATATGTATTATATTTATGGAATATTCTTAAAAAATTGATTCTAGAGATCAAAACAAATATAAAATATACACAAAAATCGGTTAAATTATAGACAAATGAAGTGAAACAAAATGAGGGTGAGACTGATTTCCTTATATCGCTATTATATTTTGTTATTCATTTATTTCATCTAATACGAATTTAAATTTAAATAAATTAATAAAAAAGCTGCAATTAATATTTTTATATAATAATTTTGTTTTTTTGAACTCTTGAATTAACCCTTCAAAAATATTCTACAAATATATATATTAACAAACTATAGTTCAAATAATAATTTTTATGTATTTTTGATGATAATTTTTGATGATAATTTTTTTATATATAATTTTTTTATTATGCAAATTAAAATTTTTTATTGATTTAATTTATAAATATATTACTTAATTTAATTTTTGGAACAAATAAAATATATTTTTTTAAGTATATGAAAATTCATAAGAAAAGTTATTTACTTACCCTTTTGTGACAGACATGATTGTTTAAAATATTAATAAATTGTGTAATTATACTATTAAATTAACACTCGTATTTTTATTATAAATAGAAGACAAATGAGCTGCGATAAATTCTAAAATTAGATATTAGATTTCGTACTGGGATATATTCATGACACATTTATATTTATATTTATATTTTAACTTAAGATTATTAAAAAATATAATAAACAAATGAAATAAAATTATATTCATTATCAGTTATATCATTACTAATATAAAAAAATCTTTCAACATTCTAATTAAATTATATAATGATAATTTAATAGCAATATATATATTTCAATATTTTCAATTATGAATTCACTTCATTTATGAATTAAAATATATATTTTCTAAAATATTTAAAATAATGATAAGTTTTTGGATATTCTGAGTTATAATTTAAACATTGTTTGATACCATTTTTTTACAGTTGATGTCACTAGTGTAGTATAAGTAACCATTAAGAGTAAACGTCACATGATAAAAGCGGGTGTGAGCGCTTTTCTCTTAATTTGTATATAAAGTTTTCTTATTCTTAACATTTATGAAAGTACATTATTAAGTTATATTTTAAAATTAAAGTCAATTATTTATTAAAGTTTTTTCATTTTTCTTAAGAATTACATAATAACAACGAAACAAAAATACCACAATGAGATACATTTTGGGTACTACTTTTGCGGGTACTGCTTCAGCAACAATTCTAGTATTAGGTATTGACTTTTATTTATTTCTTTTTAAATAAAATACGAAAAACAATTAATTATTTAAAGAAAATAAAATTAACTGTAAATATTACTATCGATTAAAATTTATATATTTTAAAATTTTCTTGTAGTATTGTATCATCTATTTACTGGAAAAGGTGAACGTGTTAGTATTGCATGGTAAGTAAGCACATTTAAATTTGGTATTTTTTTTATTTAAGACTATAATTAAAAATATTGTTAAGAGAATATTATTAGGTTTTTAGAAAATACTTCACCATATATGTGGGCAACTCTTGGTATTGGACTTGCAGTAGCTTTATCTGTTGTTGGTGCTGCATTGTAAGTTTAATTTTTTTATAAATAACTTATATTTATATGTGATATAAATTTATTATTTCAGGGGAATACATACAACAGGAGTTTCAATTATTGGAGGTGGTGTAAAAGCACCAAGAATTAAAACAAAAAATTTAATTTCAGTAATATTTTGTGAAGCTGTAGCTATTTACGGTTTGATTACTGCCATTGTATTATCTGGAATGTTAGAAAAATTTACTGCTGAAGCTATTCAGAAGGAAGAAGTTCGTGATCAAAATTGGTTTGCTGGTTATTTAATGTTTGGAGCAGGCTTAGCTGTTGGTCTTGTTAATTTATTTTGTGGTATAGCTGTTGGCATTGTTGGTTCTGGTGCAGCCCTTTCTGATGCAGCGAATTCTGCTCTTTTTGTTAAAATTCTTATTGTAGAAATCTTTGGTTCTGCCATTGGACTTTTTGGATTAATTGTTGGAATTTATATGGTAAGTTATTTAATGAAGATACTTTTATTTTTTAAAATTCTAATTAATTCATATAAATTTGCAGACATCTAAAGTAAAGATGGGAAATAAAGTATAAATTTAAAATAAATAGTAATATTATATAATATCCATAAAATATTTTTTAGATTCATTATCTTTCATCACTTAGTGATGATTGAAATAAAAATATAAAAATAAAAATAATTATTAATTATTATATGTTTAAATCAATTTAAAATTGTTATATAAGATTAATATTTTGTTTTTATATTGAACAAATATATATAGTTTAGTTTATTAGTTATGAATAGATTTTAATTATTAATTTGAATAATTTTTACAACTTTTGGTTATAAAAATTTTTGTGTATAAATAACTATTTTTAATATTGTAAAATTCATTATTTCAATAGAATCTTTTATTTAAAATATTTTGAATATGATCATAACATACTTTCTTGAATGCTTTTCTACTGTATATATATTTTTTAACTATAATATTATATGAAATAAATATATGATATGATATATGTTTCATATATAAAATATAAAATATACTATGTATAATATTATTTATGAATTGATTGTTTTTATTAGATAATATAAAAAAAAGTTCTTTAATAAAAATATAAAAATTCTTAACAAATATTATATATAAATTCAAAGCTTATATATATATATATATATATATAATCAACAGTATTAGAGAAAAATTTTTGTTATCCTTGATATGTAATAATTGATATCTAATGATTGATTATATATGATACTATCATTTTCCGTAAACCATTATAGAATGAATATTTTTAAATGCCTTCTCTAAGCACTTCACATATTCACTAGCATTGCTGTTACTTTTATAACTTGTCACAATAGTTCCCAATCTTTTATCTTGTATCATGTATCTAAACATTAAAGTGATTGTTATATGTAGATAAAATATTCAAAACTATATATGTTATCAAATTGCAAATGATATATTTGTAAAAATAATAAAAAAAACTCACCCAATTCCATATCCATTTTTTACTACTGGTCCGAAACCACCAGCATATATAATTGGATCTGAAAGAGTTGATGTAGATAAAATATTATTATTTATATTATCATATGCAGAATCTTCAAAAATAGCTGGTTTTAAAGAATTTGAATATTCCCAAATTTTTTTTAATGCAAATAAATGTCTATCGAATCCTTGTCCTATAAAAAATGATATAAATATATTTTTAATTACATTTCTTCATTATTTTTCTATCAATGTTCATTAATATAAAATTGAATAATAATTTAATATATGTAACATTTTAAATTATATGTAATATTATAATTACCCATAGCAGCTTCTTTAGAAAGTTCACTATGAACTTTACTACAATTAATTATTAAATTTTTCAGTTCAGACATGGATAAATTATTATTTTTCTGAGCTATGGCTTCACATGCTCTTTTTGTTTCCATTGTGCATGATCTAAGAGTTTCAGTACGACCATGTTTAAATGCAGCTGTACTACAAGATTCATATGTTGGTACTACACAATTTTTTTGATAATATATAGCTAATTGAAAAGCTAATTGCATAATTGCATCAGAGCTTAAACCAAATCTTTTACATTCATTTTTACCAAAATCATTAAATATTATATGATCAACACTTAGATTTTCAATCCATTTTTCAAACTTCTTTTTTTGTGTATACACAATATTTTGTATTTTACTATCTACAATAAAGTTGAGTTTTTCCACTTCTCCTTTTTGAAGGTATTTCATATCATCAGCACAAAATTTTGGCTGTTTTGTAATATCATATTTTACATTCTTAAAGAAGAGAAAAAAATTAAATACTAAAAATTTTTTAATTCATTTCTAGAAAAAGAAAAAATTAATATTTACTTTAAGAAATCTTAATATAGCTACTCCATCTCCCCATGAATGTTCAAAATTTATTCCAGCATATCCATCTTGTGTAACGATTAAAGAAAATGATTTATCAAACCATCTGTTTGTTCCATCCGCATGGAGATATATCCTAATTAACTCATTATAGTCAGTGCCAACATAAACATCATCTAATATCACTACAAATATAGCAGAATCTATTTTTTGTAAAATTTCTTGGTTACCAATTTGTGATAAATATGTTCTAGTTTTGGCCCAAAAATCACGTTCTGATGTTGTAAGTATACCAATAGGACTTTCATTACTTAATAAAGTATCTTCTAAAATAGATTTTAAGCAATTAGCTATTATATTTGGTTGATAAATATAACCATTTTTATCTATTACATCAAAAGAATAAAAATGTCCTTTCCTCATTACAATTATGTGTCTTCCAATTGTATTTTCATAAATTTCATCTTTTACTGATTTTGGTAATCTCGTTGTATTAAATAAATTATGATATTGTGACATATCTAAGGGAAACGCCTAAAGTAACAAATTTTTATCAAATTTTTATTAAATGTAAAAAAAATTATTCATTTATTTTTAATTGTGATAAGATTATTTTACCTTAAATAAATAAGCTCCATACCATCTAAATTCAGAAGGAAGAAATCTTGTAATAATATGAAATATATTATTATGAGCTGTTTCAGATTTTAAATAAAATATTTCTGGTTGTAAAATATTTTCTTTTAATGACTTCATAAATCGTAATGATGATATAATAAGATTTGTAGCTTTTACTAATTGTATATTTTGTTCTGAATTTGAGTCTGGTTCAAGAACTAAGAAAGGATTATAGTTGATAGGTAAAGGTTTACGATCTCGTAGATACATATCAAACCATGGTTCACTAATATAACTAGTATTACAATTTTTAGCATCTTTTTCAATTAGTTCCTTATGTAATTTAATACCATCTTTAATCAGAAATTCATTAACATAAATTGCAGTTTTCTTTAATTGTTCTTTAGATAACAATGGTCTTTGTGCATTTAAATATCTTCTACATGTATCTTCTAATTTTGGAATAGGTAAACGTGGTAGAGATAATTGAAAATGCATTGTTGGAGTTTTACTTTTTTCAATATATTGATATTCTTCATTTTTTTTTGTAGATATTCTTCTAAAATAAATATACATATATTTTCACATTATTTAAATATATTTTATAGTTGTTAATAATAATACAATAATTAAATATTGAAATATAGTTACCTTGATGTTTGTAATAATAATTGTACTTTATCTTGATCAATCTAAAATATAAATATTAATATAAATATTAATTATTCTGAAATTATTATGTTAATTATATATTAAAAGTGTTAATATGTGAAATTTATGAATCTTACTAGTTTCTTTTCAAAGTAATTATATTTTAATATAAAAGATAGCATATTTATTTTATAATTTTTATTTACAATTACACGCTATATACAGAACTTTATAAAAAATATGTGTAATAATATAAAATATTTGTATAATATAAAAAGTAAAATATTAATAGATAAAATATATTTCCTTGTATATTTTTATAATACTATTAATTTAAATAGATAATAGCCTAAACTTTATTTCGAAGCACTAAAAATTATTAATTCTTTTTTGTGCTTTCTAATAGTGTTTGATAATTAGAATCCAAAAATATTAATTTTAAGTTTAGAAATTCATTAGTTTAAAAATTATTCGTATATAAAATTAATGCTTTTTAAGCATTTTTTGACAGATTACAAGACACCATATTTGTTTATTTTCCAGTTTGTCCTATGAGCGGAGTTACTGTCTGCATGTGAATGACAGCCATTAAAATCCATTAAATAACATCTTCAAAATTACTGAGTTGGTTAGGTCAACTTCTTTTTCCGGCCGCCTATGGCGGCCGGTAATTCCAACAATAATTATTATTTTGGTAAGTTATTTTTATTTCAATATCGAATCAACTTATATCGAATAAACAATGTTGTAATTATATTATTATATTTTGTGCGAACTAATCAGAAAAACAAAACTTGTATAATCTATATAGCCAAATTTGACTTATCGCGCCGAAATAGTCATTATCTAAATGCAATTCATACCTCCGTTCATTGGACGAATTGTGAATATAAATCAATAAATGATATTCTAGTCATTAACTTTACATATGAATAATTTTTGAATCAGTGAATTCCTAAACTTAAAATTAACATTTTTGAATTCTATTTATCGAAAACTATCAAAAGGCATAAAAATTCAAAGTAAAATTTAATCACATGATATACAATAATAAAGTTGAAACAAAAATTTTGGTAAATAATTTTCGGAAAAAATTACTTGAATCACCTTAGAAATCATTGAAATTTTTAATAATCGACATTTATAACATACTATATAAAATTATTAGTCTCTATAGTTATATCATATATAGGATGTTAATATATTTATAATACATCTTTGGAAGATCGATTTTAAAGGCTAAAACAAACATAATATTGCAAAAATTAATATTTAAAAATACTTAAAATTTATTTATAAACAGTTAAGCAAAACAAAAAAAAAAGATTTTATTATTATATCATTGTTGCACTTTATTCCTACTATTTCATTTAATTCAATCATTTAATTCACGAATTTAAATTGCTTATAACTTAATAAATAAGCTTCAAACATTTTTGTATTAATTTTGGCTTTTAGAATTGATTCTCCAAAAATCACATATGAATATATTAAAACATATATTATATACAAATATAAAAAAAGATGTAATTTGTTTTAGACATATAAATGTATAAAAATATATAATAATTCTAAAATGTATTTTATTCTAAATTTTTTTTTCTTTTATAATATTTTTCTTTAATTTTCTTTCTCTATTTTTAACAATTTTGAAAATATAATTTATATCAGTTATATAAGACATTATACATGAATTATTTGTAATATTATATTATCTTTTTTCTATTTGATGATAGTATAAATATATATATATATATATATATATATATATATATAAGATTTAATAAATATATATAACTTAATAAATTTTTATAATTTTTTAAATATAAAATTTTATTAAAAATTTAATATATTGTAAAATAATGAATATATTCACAACAAATATTGCAAAAAAATGTATTTAGGAAAATACGTTTTTCAACCAATAGCAAAATACTGTCTGTATAATCTAAAGTGTTTGTGATTGGTTGTTTTAATGAATTTCACGAATTTCCCGCTTTTTAGAATGCTATAGAAGCGTAATGGAACATTTAACGAATATAAATAATATATTGTGTATTTTTCAATTTTTTTTCTCAAGATTTATCAGAATCTTGTACGATTTCTCTTGATACAGTTAAAATAATTTCAGTGATTGATTAAAAATGTGCCTTAGAAAAATGTTAGATATATCATGAAACTTTTGTGCCGAAAAATTTACTATATTTGTGAATATGTACATTATAATCAACGATTTTAGTGATGTGTAGTGAAATTCAACATAATACGGAGTGCCAAAAACAACAAAACTAAAATATAATTCATTGATATTATATTGTTTGATAAAAAATAAGTTATTATTATGAATGTAAAATCAGCATTAATATCATAAGAATGTAAGGTTAGATATACGTTATAATTTACATTCTGTGTTATTATTTCTTAATACATTATTTTGTTTATATGATAAAAGTGTTTAAATAAATCAATAGAACTAGAAAAAATCAACAATATAAATAGTTCAAGGACATTCTTCTTCATCATTTTCATTCAGTGCATTGTGCAGTGTATACAATCTCTAAATATCTACGTGATATGTTTCTACTTTGATTACTGCAAGAAATATAAACATGTTAGTAGAAATAAATTAGTAATTAGGATTTGATATTTTGTATAATCCATAATTAATGCAAAAATAAAACATAAATATAGTTTTATATATTTAATATTTTGTAGGGCAGATCGAGATTATGATATGGGTCCAGCTACAGAAATGATGGTAAATGATTTTGATGATGAGCGGACTTTAGATGAAGAAGAAGCTTTAGAAGGTAGTGAAGATTCTCACAACGAGTTGTCCAACTTACAAAAGGTATAATTCTGAGGTGAATAAGTTAAATATTTAACATATACAATGTTTATTTTGTAACAAGTTTCTGATCCCAACTATTCTAGGATCAAGCCTGTGAAATGAAAAAATCAAGCCCATAAATAATTACAATTATGATAAGTTTCTACAACACTTTGGACTCAAAGTGCGTTCTCGTAGTGAGATTCGTATGTTTAGTCTGTTTGTTATATGTGGCATGGTAATCATTTGTGTTTTTGTCTTCTTTCAGGAAGGTGATATGCCACTAAAAGACCTACTTGCGATGTATGGATACGGGGATCCATCAACGGAAAATTCAAACAGTTCAGACCGAATGTTAATTCCATCTGGAAGCGGTGATCCAGAAATTGAAGGACAATATTCAGATAAAGGAGATAATGACGCAGATGATGATGAAGATGATGATGAAGCGGATGCAACTAGTAATGAACCAGATCTCAAGCAATTTTATACAGAAATGTTAGTAAAAGGAAAAGATTCGTCGTCATTAGTATCAGGATCAACAATGAAAGGAAATAATACCAATAGTGTAGGTACTGGAGATAATAACAGACGACATAGAATTCATGACGATGATGAAGATGATGAAGAAGGTGAAGTGGAAGAATGTTCTATGATGGATGGTTGTAGTAACAATGAAAGTACAAGAATGACTTCAACTATTGGTAATACTGCTAAATGTAGCAGTATAACCGCACTTGCTAGCTGTACAACAAATGATAATACTGGTGGTGGAGTAGAAATTAATGTTAGCAGTGGTATGGTAGATGGAGGAGAAGATGGAATAGTTAGTAGTGGTATAGGCACATCAAGATTACTAAGAAGTGTTTCACGACCACAAAGCGAAGAAGAAGAAGATGATTGTGATTATAGTCCAGATGAAGAAGAATGGAAGAAGACAATCATGGTTGGTATTAATTATCAAGCAGCTATACCAGAAGGTCTTTGCCATTATGATGATGCTTTACCTTATGAAAATGAGGATAAGATGTTATGGGATCCTAGCCATATACCTGAAGAGGAAACTGAAGAGTTCTTAGAACGGGCACAATTACCAGCTGTAAAAGGTGGTTCTCTTCCTACAGGGTCACATATCAGAGATGATGAACAAGCTTTATATTTATTGTTACAATGTGGCTATAATCTTGAAGAGGCATTAAGGAGACGAAGAATGAACGTCGTACCACCAACGGATGCAGTTAGTCTGTGGTCAGAAGAAGAGTGTCATAATTTTGAATCTGGATTACGAAGTTATGGAAAAGATTTTCATCTTATACAAAAAAATAAGGTATGCATCATGTATAAACTTGAACTATTTTATGGTACTAAGAAATATTTATATAATGTAAATTATTATAATAGGTTAGAACGCGATCTGTTGGAGAATTAGTGCAATTTTATTATCTTTGGAAGAAAACAGAAAGGCATGATATATTTACATACAAAGCTCGTTTAGAAAAGAAAAAATATGCTTTGCATCCTGGTATCACGTGAGTATTTTCTCTATTTTATAATATTAATAAAAAAAAAAATATATATATATATATATATATATATACATATATATATATACATAAAAAAAAATATACGTTTATAAGTTTAAATTATTATAATAATTATATATTTTTTTCTTTTTCTTTTTTTTTCTATTAAATAAATTTGTAATCAATTAAATTTTGATCGAATTATATAGTTTCTATTGTTACATTTTTATGTTACGATTGAAAACTTGAAGTATGACAAGATCGTTGAATCGTAAGCAGGGACTATATGGACCGATTTCTGGAAGAACAAGAGGGTGTTCGCGATCGTAGCAGTTCACCAAACGTTCATTGTTTACTATACGGTGATGCGAAACGACAAAGGTCAACCGTTAGTGTTCCAAATAATGAGGAAGCAAAATCAGCGGAACCATGGGATGGTTCTGTAATTGATTCTTTAGCAGACTCAAATGGACCGACGCCAGTACCACCGCCACCCCCACCTCCACCTCCACCACCACCGATATCAACTGCTGTAACTGTATCTTCAGGTTCTGTTTCAACTATATTGTCAACATCTATATATTGTACTGCGACAACTCGCCATTCCGATTGTTCACCGTCCGATTCTAGCTATACAAATCCACATATGTGGTCGAATTTGACATCTCGAAATCATTCTACCTCCTGTATCGTAACGACGATCTCAATAAATACGACAACAACAAGTACTGTTCCAATGGTTACGGCCATTGGAATTACAAGCACGGTTACAAGCAGTTCTACCATCACTTCTACTGCCTCTAATAATTTTTATCGCTCGCGAGTAACATCAAGAAACAATGATGTGCATGATACACCATCACCAGAGAACATTTTACCTCATTTACCTCCTTAGCGTCGAACACGACTTTCAGGTTTCCAACCTGGAAGGTGTCAAATGTCTTGGTGCGATGTGATTTATTTAACACTCGCGTTATCATTATCGTCATAACATATAATATTCGTTAATACCACGAATTATATTTTTATACTATATCGTAATATGATTATTAATTTCTATAGCGAAAATAAAAAAAAAAGAAAAAAAAGTTTTTCGCGAAATCGAAATAAATGATAGCAAATTAAGTAAAATTGGAAAAATAATTGATTAGATTAAGTGGTATGAACATAAATTACTACAGCTTTTTCCATACTTTCTGCTTTCTACTTTCCTATAACCATTCCTGATCCTGTAGATTTACAAAAAGAATACAAGTTTAAAATGTGTCTAAATGATTCGCATTTTCAGATCTATAAATAATTAAATGTTATTAAAGCGAATGAATGATACAATTATAGAATTGTAGTAACAGATAAATTTATAAAAAATAATAATCGTTATTTAAAACACGTATCTAATTCTTGATTGTACAAAAATTTACGATTTACAAATCTGAAAGAAATAGGATTTTGGTAATTTGAAATGGTTAAATTAAATGAAATTTGATGAATATATAGTTCTTTTTTTTGTATTTTCATCAAGGATGCACAATATGTTAAATGACTTTTTTTTTATCTCAATCATTATTTTATCCACACAAAAGAAATTTTAAGTACATTTGTGAATCCTTGCAACTAATTTTTTTATCCTTTACACATATCGAAAACATAAAATTATAATAAAAATTGTTATTTTATTGTAAATTCCAACGTATGTTATAAATCAGTTTTTTATGTAGTGTTAAATTTCTTTTTGCTTTTTTCTTTTTTTTAAATTTAAAGCACATATATTTATCGAAATTCCATGTTGTTATCGATATTGTGTTAAATCTAAAGATTCTACAACAGTTTTAAATAACTTTCCCATCAAAGGTAAAAATTGTATGTTATTAATATTAATTGCGTATTTTCCTGTAGTATGCACATTCTCTTTGAATATAGTTCCTTGTATTTCTTTTAATCTAGCGGGTAAGATAGTTTGATTGAAGTCAACAGTTTGTTGAATAGTCCTTATACTTTTAGCATCAGAATTGATTAATGAACCCTTAACTTGCCAGTCATCAGGTGTACCTCGATGTTCAAGAAAATCGAAGAAAACTCCTAATTCAGTCACTGTTTCGCGCGCTATTAGTTGTCGATCTCGAAGAGCGATTCTTGGACTTCTAACTCCTTCCAGAGCTTGATACAAAATCAATACGAGATTAATTTCAAGAGCGAACCTGGTATTATTTTCATCCATAGATTCAAACCAAGGATCGCTAAATTTTTGATATTTTGCTACAACAGGGCTATCATTATTTGATATTCCTTTTGTTACATGTCTACCACTTGTTAAGGCTGTTGCTCTTGAAAGAATAGTATTTTCACAAATAAGAGGATCGTAGGGTCTCCGTACAAGTCTTGGACTGCTTAATAACGGTACAGTTACATCTAAGCCACTTACATATGCCAAAAATTCACTTCCTACATTAGAAGAAGATCTTGACGTGGAACCAGATGCCGCATGAATAATCCTTCTAAGATCTTTGCTTGAATGCATTCGCCGATCTTCTGGTGCAGCATGTTCCCATTCTTTCTTAGCAGAATCTGTTTTATCTGTTTGCTTACTAAGCGAAACGGACGAAGAACTGATGGGCTGAGATCGATAATGTAAAGCCTGTGTAAATAATTGTGTCGAACTAATGATCGTGCCGTAAGTTAATCGTGGTCCGGAACTCATGCTCATATGAGGTGGTCCAAAATTCATTTCAGCCATTGGAGTATAGCAAAAATCTTGCGTATATATAGTATCTATAAGAGTATTTAATCTCGGTGAAAAATGAACGAAACTTAACGCACAGGTTGTATTTATAATGATCAATTTGTTAACTAACAATTTCAATTCACCGCTTGGCAATCTTTTATCACAAGATTCTAATTCTTCAGCACTTTCCACACTGATACCATCAATAATGAATTTGAGAATTCGTGGTCTTAGTAATAGATTTACAGTGTTATCATATGCCAAATACATACATTTAATTAGAGTCTCACAAACATTTGGTTGTATCGAATTCCAAACATATGGTTGCGTTGCAATAATATGAATAAGAGCAACGAGAGATTGTACCAAATCGGCAGCAAGAAGATCTGCTGTATGTCTTAATAAAGTTGACGCAACCATTAATTGATATTCATGAGAATGTAGAAACATTGTGATAGATTTGATATAAACATTAGGCATTTCTCTAGTGACAAGTCCTATTAAAAATTCAAGGCCAAGTGTATAAAGCGGCCACCAATCCTGACATCGCCATTGTCCATTTGGACAATCGTCATATAATGAATCTAACATACTATTTCCAATGTCAATCGGTGGAATTAAGCTTAGCCATAATTTCGCAATATCATTTTCATTGATCGGATGTAAAGCGTAAGGAGATCGAATGATTAAATTAAGCAAATTAAGAGCAGCAGTGCTAAATCTTAAATATGAATATTTTTGTAAAGTAACACCGATGCACGTCATCAATTCCGGTATCATTTGTCGAAATTGTACACAGCTAGATTTTCGTTGACATTTTGTAGTATTTCGTTCTATATAGGAACGTAATACTTGGGTAACCATACAAACAGCTAAAGTTGCTGGTAAACTTTCCCGAATTCCGCGAACAGTTTCTGCATTTCTTTCTTCGGCATTCTTTTGTGTAGTTACACTATCAATTGTATCTATTTTACAATCGATCTCTTTTCGTTTAACCAAATGATGTTCTTGTTTTCTTCTTTCTAATTGAATAGCAGCTTCTTTTAACTCCTCTAATTCACAGGCAGCAATTGTACAGGAATGTGATAGAAGATATTCAAGACTCGATACATCCTCGCGCAAAGTACTTTTCACGCATTGTACGCATCCGAGAAGCAAAGAAATTAATGTTTGACGTAAAGATTTTCCAAAAGTGCAATAAGCTTGACTAATTTCTTGCATTAATTGTGTCAATCCAGATTTAAAAATTCTGGAATCATCAACGCACATTTGTTTCCAAGAAGTAATACATCGAAGCGATAAAGAAGCTAGCAACATAGTAATTTTTCGGCTAGAAATATCATAAGATTGCTTAATTCGTTCAAGTAGCGATTCTAAGGAACGTTGTGTTATTAATTGTGCTTGTGATACGTTAATAGGATAATTTATAGCTATTCTTTCGTCAGTTAATGTGACAATAAAATTGTACCAAGATTCCAAATTGGTTTCATATAACGAATCTGTAATATTAATATCTCGCTTCTCACAAGGTTTTTGTTTAACAGTATGTATATCATCAAGTATATACATTGCCAACTTTTTCCAGTAATCTTTCGATTTATCCAATAGTTTTTTCAGATTCATAGTAAAATCATCTTCCAATGTGGTACTTTTGAACAACTCTAAAGTAATTATATCTAATAAATGAGAATAACCTTTTGCACCTGGTAATATCTCTCTGAAAAGTGGAGCAAAAAGGTGAGTCCAAAAATTCTCGCGTTTTCGAAAAAAATTTACAAGAATTTCATTTCTATGATACCACATTGCTCGTAATAATGCCATTGTGCTATTATATAATTTGTCGCTAACAATATCGTCTCTTTCATAGATTCGATTTAAATATTTAACTAAAAATTGCCTACACCCTTCAGTAAAAAATTCTTCTACCGATCGAGGAAAGATTCGTTTACATTCTGCTGGATGTACGATATTAAAGAGAGCTTCTGTAAGACCGGGTTGCTTTTCTAGACATACAGCAACCAATTCAAGAATAGCAACTTTGACATCTGCGACACAAGTTGGTGACATAAGACCTCTACGAGAAGCAAAAGTCTCTCGTATAGCTGTACCGTCCATACCCATACAAACTAAAAGTGACATAGATGATCCTTCAGCAAATTTTTTTAATAATCTAACAGCCATTGCTTGTAAAGGTGGACTGAACCAAACATACAAATAATTTACAATTGTAGGTACTATTAAAAGTCCATTTGGTACACGAGGTGAAGAATATAATGCAGCTTCTAATGGTGATCTCTCTCCTATTTCTAAACCCAAGGATTTTCGGAATATAAGTAATCTATTTACTACAGATAAAGCCAATTGTACACTTTTGATTGCTTTGAAACCTTTCCCGCGAATCCAATCTGTTTCTGCCATCATTTTATTATGTAAAGTACGTTCGCCAGTACGAATTAATTTAAGTAAAGCATGTCGTGGTTCTAAATATAGTAAACTATATGCAACAACAAGTTGTAATTCATTACGTATATCCTCTTTTGGTAAACTAGATTCTAGCGCTCTATGAAGACAAAACATGCTTTTTAACCACAAATCAGTTCTTTCCGCATCCGAATCGAAATACCAGAAATCTAATTTTGGTAAAACACCTTGTAATAAAAACACCATGCCAGGTATTTCTATTGTATATAGAGCTTCCTCGTTATATTTTCTGATTAAATATTTTGATAAAATATCCAAATATGCATTCAAGATTGGATAAGAATGAGCGATCGTTTCTATTGCAGATAACCATGACGCAATTATACCACCATCGAAGGAAACGGCTTCAGCAAAATCTAATGTTTTTTGATACCGATTATTAAATCTTGGATAGACACCCGCTCGCATTCGAGATAAAATTTCTTCTGGATATTCTAACACAAGTTCGGATGAAATACTGATGCAAGCTGCAACTATTTTGTATATATACATTTTTTCTTCAGGTAATACAGGATAAGAAAATCTGTTTATGATCTCAAAACTTAATTCCGTTGGAATAACCATATTTTCTCTATTCCATATTTCTATGTGTTTAGCTAATGTTTTTAACAATTTTAAACCTTGTGAAACATGCTCTGGCAAATTTTTATTCATTTTATTACAGCCTGTAATTCCACCACCTGCTTGAGAAAACAGCTGTTCTATTTTGTGATGTAAAGCATGCCAATAACTTGCTCTTTGTCGGAATATCACTACTTCAGATCCACTTGACAATATACGTATATTTTCACATGGACAATCTTCTGATATAGCATATGAATTTCTGTGAATCACACATTCTTGTTCATATGGTTTGAATGGTTTACCATAGTCTCGTTGTCTCGGTACTTCTAATGTTAATGATGGAAGATTATCCAATTCTATTGCGATTTTTTCGGCACTTAATTCTGATGCAGATGCTAATCCAATTGCAATATTTGTTAATGGTT